AAGACTAGTGAAGGTCTTGTCTCGATCTAAAATGGCCATCTTAGGCTGACCATGAAGTTTATATACCTGATCTAAATACAATTTAGCCACCTCCATCATAGTATAGGGATGAGAAAGTGCTAAAAAATGAGAATATTTAGTCAGTTTATCCACTATCACCAAAATTCATTCTTATGCATAGAAACAGGTAAACCTCAAATAAAATCCATAGTTATCTCCTCCCATGCTTGATGAGAAATGGGAATGGGTTATAGCAACCCTGGTTTAGCCACATGCTCCACCTTAGTACGTTGGCAGACTTCACATTGTTGGACATAATTAGAGACCATCATTTTAAGTTTAGGCCAATAAAAATAAGTTTTCACCCGTTGATACGTAGCTTGAATACCTGAATGCCCTCCATGTGGAGAGTTGTGTAGGATTTTTAGAATCTTCAAACGTAAATCATCTGTCTCTCCCACATAAACTCTATCCTTGTAGCGCAAAATACCCTTTGAATACTTCCAATTTGGAGCACTAGCAGTGTTAATAGTTACTGCTCTGATATATTATTTAGCACTAACATCTTGTTCATAGCTTTGTTCAATTTCCTTAACCCAAGTTGGAATGATAATCATGGCACTCATCTGTTTACACTCACCCAACTGCACAAATTGTCTTGACAAAGCATCTGCCACAACATTAGTACGCCTTTTCGTGTATTGGATTGTGTAGTCTAAACCCAATAATTTGGTCAACCCTTTCTTCTGAATTGTTGTTGTGAGCTTCTATTCTAATAAATACTTCAAAGGTTTGTGGTATGTTTTAATGATAAATGGACCACACTCAAGATAATGTTGCCATTTCGAAGCTGCCACTGCTACAGGAGTCCATTTAAAACCTTCTTTTTTCAACATCATTGTAAGTGGACGGCTAATTGCACCATAAGCTTTGATGAATCATCTATAATAACCTGTTAGCCCTAGTAAACCCCTAGAGACTTTAAATTTTAAGGAAGTGGCCAATTTTTCATGGCAGTAATTTTTTATGGATCAGTTGAGACACCCTGAGCATTAATAATGTGGCCTAAATATTCCACTTGTGGTTGTCCAAAATAGCATTTACTTCTCTTAGCATAAAGCTGATGTTGTGTCAATATTTCCAAAACCTTTCTTAAGTGTATGGCATGAACAGACAATGTAGTGTTGTACACTAATATAGCATAAAAAACACTAGAATAAACTTTCTCAAGTAGGGAGTGAACAAATCATTCATAAGAGATTGAAATGTAGCAGGGGCATTTGTAAGACCAAAGGGCATTACCTTAAATTCAAAATGTCCATGATGAGTGCGAAAAGCAGTTTTGTAGATGTCTTTAGGTTGAATTCGAATATGCCAATAGCCAGACCTTAAGTATAATTTAGAAAAATAGGATGCCCCATGTAATTCATCTAATAAGTCATCCACCACTGGTATTGAGAATTTATTCTTCACTTTCTGACTATTTAACTGCCTATAATTCACGCAAAATTGTCAAGAACCATCGTTTTTCTTAATAAGTAAGCAAGGTGAGGCAAAAGGGATCTTGCTTGCTTGAATGATAGAAGCTGATAACATATCAGAAATATGTCTTTCCACCTCTGCTTTTTGATGATGTGGAAACCTATAAGGCCGTAAATTGATCAGAGTTGCACCTGGCTTAAGTGTAATTGTATGGTCATGTACTTGATTGGGAGGCATTCCTGTAGGTTCCTCAAAAATTCCTGCAAATTCTGCTAACAGTTGTTGTAGCTCACTAGGCACAGATTGCTCACAATTTTCCATAGTCAGCAAATAAATTTCTCCCAATAAATTTGGATCCTTAGCAGTGATCTTTTGCATTTTGTCATTAGAGATTGTTTTCATAAGGAAGGGTGTTTGATGACCCTGAATTGATAATCGTTATCCCTCCTTTTCAAAGGTGATAGTCATGCCATTAAAATCCATAAGAATTGGGCTATATTTGCGCATTCAATCGACTCCAAGGACCATATCACTACCTCCTAGATTTAGTACCCGAAAATCATGAAAAAGTTGATGGTCTTGCATAATCCAACATAACTGATTTCTTTTAGCTGAACTAAAAAGTTTCTCTCCGTTAGCAATTGTAATAGCTAGTGGTTGAGTTGAAACTAACTCAATACCAGCTTTAGCCCATTTAGGAGTGATAAAGTTGTGTGTGCTGCCACTGTTAATAAGAATATTGAGAGGTTTGCCTTTGACCAAGTCTTGAATTCTAATTGTTGTATAACCAATGCTACCTGTGAGAGCATTGACTGAAATCTCCATATTCTCATCTTTATCTTTTGAATCCCCCAAAACCTCTTCTGGTATGATTGTTTCTTTATGGCTATCAATTTCCTCCATTGCATTCAGTTGTCGTAACATGCATTGGTGACCTAGTTGAAATTTCTCACCACATTTGTAACAAAAAATATTCAATATGCGATACTCTAGCAAACTGGTTTTGTTTGGAGGGTTTGGAATAACTTTTTGGTTTGTTTAAATTGAAGCAGGTCTGCTAAAATTGTTTTGGGTGGGATAGGGTAGGATTCTTAAGTTTTGTTTCTGTCGTTTGCTTTCAAACTCCATTGAGATCTCATATAATTTAGTCTGCCTGTAAGCTTTAGCTACTTCTTTAGGGTTGAATAGCTTTGACCCTGTGTTTCAATTCTTCCCTTAGTCCACTTATGAAAATGGACACGAAAATTTCCTCCCCAATGTTGGATTCTGCAATAAAATGAAAGGTTTCATCTCTTCAAACCTCACTTGATATTCTTCCATCTTTCCTTTTTGAGTTAACTTACTAAATTCTTCTATGACATCTGCATATTGCATATCACTAAATCGATGACACAAGTCTGCTTCGAACTCGTGTCAATGTACACGATTTTTTTGCATGATATAACCATCAAACCATGATTAAGCTTTTCCCTCTAAATACATCGCATCTATCTCAACTCTTTGTTCTTCAGGAATTCCAAAGAGATGAAAGAACTTATGACATTTTTGCACCCAACCCCTTGGATTCGTTCCATCAAAAAATTTTAGTTCTACTTTAAGCCTAGGAAGCATAAATCCAGCATTTCCTACTGCCCCTCTTTGAACTATTTTAGCCACATTGCTATCCTCTGTTTGATTTTCTACCCTAATATTCGATTGGTTCATTTGCGACTCATAAGGTTTAGATTTGAGGATATTTGGTTTATCCATGTTGTAAGAGAATCTAGACTTATCATTTATCACTATCACCATCACTGGTTTCTTTCCATCAACTTTAGTTGGAGTGGGTGTAGCAATCTGCTCTTTTTCTGAGCTCCCCATATCTTGCTCATCATTCCTCCCCGTTAAAATTCGTAGGACTTGTTTTATATAGGCTTGATTGGTTGTCATCCTTGATTTCAGGTTGTTTCAACGTTTTTTTTGCTCCTCCCACCACTTTGGAGGTTTCGTTTCATCAGTGACTTGCTTTACTCTTTTGGATAAATCTTCAATCTGTTGTTGAATGACAGTAAGTTCAGTCGACTCTGCCATGGCTTTATTCTTTTTATGTTTTTCCTGTTTGCTATAATGCCAGGAATTTAGGCTCTGATGCCAATTTGTTACGAACAGAGAGAAATAGATAAGGTAAAATCGAAGGAGAGAAGGATTTAGAAGAAGAAAAGAAAGATTACAGAAAAAAGATTCTCATTCATTCATCAGATAAGATCTTTCTTCTCCAGTACATAGTTTTATTTGCATTACAATGTACTATAGCAAATCTAAAAGTGACAGTTGTATAACTAACTCGAACAAATTTGTTTGCAGATAAGAGCTAAGTATTTTCCTCCCGTGGGTTGTTGACTGGATCCCTTTCTGAGCTCATCTCTTCTGTCACATTCAGCTTCTGCCCCATTCAGCTCCTGATCCCCCTTACTTGTGTCCAGCTCCAGGTAATTTCCTTTTGTCTTAGCTTTAGGAATTGAAATCCCTAGTTCCCCGATTCCCTTTTTTCAATCCCTAATTCCTCTTCCATTTCCCCAAATTCTCTCGCTTCGATTCTAATCTCCCTATCTGGTTCTCCTCTTTCGTTCGTGACATATATCAAGTGAAAGGAGCAAGAAATTTTAGAAAAATGAATAAAGCACACAACAAAAGAAAAGATCATTATCCAGAGAAATATAATAATAAGAGATTAAATCACACAATCATAAGATACAAAGAAACATCAATACACGTTCACCTAAGAGAAAGTACATTATGGACTCTAATCATTTTATGGGTGGATTAGGTGAACAGGAAGAGAACCACAAACTAACAACAGCAATCATGATTAAGGACATCCCATTTCAATGAATTGAGTCCATACATAATGTGGAACAATCAAAAGTAGAATCTATACAAACTGGTAAGGGAAAAGTTACAGAACATACCTTAAATATTGGTTCGACAATCTCATGGAAAAATTTTGAGGAACGACACCGACCTGACCTTGGATTCAGTATCACAAGCATTTTTGATGGATTCTTGCATCTGAACACAAGCTCGGGAGGAGTATCCATTGGAAACAATTCAGAATAAGCTTGCTTCTTCGAAGAAACTAAAGGGTGAGGCAAACAATTGATGTAAAAATGCAGGTCTGCAAACCCACCAACCCATTGAACTGCCTCTTCTACACTAGAAGCCAAGAAACAAAAATCCTTTCGCCTTCTCTTCGGTTTAATAAATCCCGAAAAGCCACAAGCAGCCTTTTTTAGAGGGTAAGAGTGCACAGTGAAATGTCTAACGACGACATTGTAGGATGCCTGTCAAATATAAAGATACTGAACAGACTGGTTGCAAACTAAAACCCAAAATTAAATCCTGTTCATTGGAATGATCTATTCTAGAGGATTAAATGTTTATCGAGATGACATCATCAAGTTACAATACATGTGAGCCCCAAATCAATGCCTTGCTAGTGAGTTTAGCAGCAACAGCTTCTTGGTTGGCTATATCAGTACGAGAATCCTATTCTACATCGGAGGAATTATTACTATTAGGGACATTCTTTCTCTTATCCAAACTGGGCTTCCCTGAGTAAACTGCGTAGCCAAGCAAATTGGAATTTTCATCCCCTCCACCAATATCGATCCGATGCTCTTTCCTTTTGGATTTATCAGTTTGATCATCCGTGATAGGGCCTTCGCTGTGTTTGGAGAAAGCTTTATGCTTTTTAATACGTTTCTCCAGGAACGTAATCGAGGAAATGTGGGTTGCTATTTGCGAGCACAAGCTCAGCCACCTCGATGACTGCGCAGACAAGGACGGTACTCTCACTGACGAACAATTACTGCTCGACAAGCTCCCACTGTGCTGCATATCCGTTCAGCCGCTTCTACTCCGTAATTGCCACCACCAAATTCCATGGAGTAGAAATCAATAGCCGGAGGCATACAAAAAAAAAAGAGAGAGAAAGAAAATATTTTTTACTTATTCTTCTGACGACGATGGTAGTTCGAATTAAGATCAGTGGTCTCCCTAAAGTGCCATCCTTACCATTAATCTGTCAGGACAGTGCACGATTATCAAATTTTAGTTTAAAACAAATAAATAAAGGTTTTGATCGAAACTTATGAATAATATGAAATGGGAACAGGTAGAAAAATTGACACCGACCCGGAAAAGGAAGGAAATAGCGGCGCCGGTGAATCGAAATTTGAGCCGGAATGAGTTAGGTGGGGATAAACGGTTTCGTCCTATTGACATTTAGGGTGTGTTTGGTTCACGGAATATAAGATTATCAGTAGGAATAAAAGATTATAAGAGAATAAGATTACTGAGAATGTTGTATTTTGTGTTTTGTTGGTTTAGCATAAATGTAAGATTATCGTATTTGGTTAAAAGAATAAAAGATTATTGGAATGTATATTTGATCAAATTGTCCTTATTATATATTTTTATAATATTACAAATTGTAAAATATTTATATATTTTCTTTAAAAAATTAAATTCATAATATTTATATAATTTTTTTTACAAAATAAAAAAATATAAAAAATGTTTAATGAAAGGGTAAAAAAAATTTTAACCCCTGAACTTCATATAAAATTTTAATTATAGATTTTTTTATAAATCTAAAATAATTTAAGGATAAATTTGTAATTTAACCTTCGTAGAATTTTTATTATTCAATGACAGAAGAATGATATTTTTGAAAAAAAAAATAATAATTTAAGGACATTTTAGTCCAAAACGCCGGTAATGTTACAATACTTAAAGGAAGGGAGGTAATGACATTCCCGGTAATATACCCAAAAAAATATACTATTGGTAATAAAACATTACCGGAAATGAGATTTTCGGCCAACCAAACATAGTCCTTAAACCAAAAACCCCCTTAAGAAGAAATAACGCCACCTCTGCCTCTTTGGTTACTTTTTATTTTATCTTTGGGTAAACTATATTGATCACTCAACTTTTACTCCTTTTACTTTTGTCACCGATCTTTCAATTTTTTTACTGTTAAAATATTTCGTATAATTACACATCTGATCATTATTATTTGCATATTATATTAATTTGGACATAATTTTAATAAATTAAAATAAATTTAATCATTGAATCAAATGAAGTTGTCATACACCAATTCTGGGGCTAATTTTTCTCTAATTTAATTTCGGGGATTAAATTAAAATTTTGATTAAAATTGAGGACCAAAATAAATTCTTAATTAAATTTAGAGTAAAACTTAGAAAATAAAAAAACTTGAAGGATCTATGACATGATTTTTCTATTTTCCTTTTTGGGTGATTTTAAAATATTTTCAAATCTGAAATTTTTCATTTCTAGAAATTATAAGTTTTCTCTCTCTTCAAGATTTCCTTTTTCAGAAACTTTTTTTGGGATAACTTTATAAACGTTTCATCGTCGATCGTTACTCCGTTTTCGATACCTCTTATATCTTGTTTCGAGTCCAACAATAGTCACCCTAAAACGTGATCGGATTCTCTTTTGTTTGTCGTTGTGAACCGAACTAGGTAAGTGTCTTAAAACAATTTTAGAATTTTTTCTGTGATTTTTCTGGTAAAAAAAATACCCCACAAGTGTCGTCGCTATGCGTGGGAATCGTCCACCGCCTGGTGTGTCTTCTAGAAGCGGGTCAACCGACCAATTGATCCAACCCTTCTGTCTAACCCAAATCTCAAATTGCCCCGGTCAAACTAGCCCAATCAAATTGAATTGTGCCGAGTCGCGTCGAGTCGAGCCATTGATCGTTGATCGACATTGACTTTTTTTTAAAACCACATTCTTAATGTTTTTCTTCGTCTTGAGTCCAATTTTGCAGTATGTTTCATCAAATTTTGACACAAAAGCCTCGAATCGAGCCCGTTAGACCAATATTTTATTTTTCGATGTCGATATCTCTATATATTTACTGGTTATTTTAGTATTTTACCATTGAGCCAAACTACTTTGATATACGAAATACAATATACAATATACAATATATATATATATATATATATATTGTATATTGTATCATTGTGTAAATCCTTAATATTTTATATATTTTAATTTAAATTCACGCATAAAATTAACTTCACCTCTTAATATTAAAAAATATATTTTATTTTTTCTTAAATTATTAAATATATTTTATTTTTTAACTTAAAAATATATTTTAATCTTATTTTAACTTAAAATATATATTTATTCTTATTTTAATTTTTTAAAATATAATTAAAGTCACATATTAAAATTAAAAAATTATCTTAACTCATTGAATATATTTTATTCTTATTTTAATTTAAAAATATATTTTAGTCTTATTTTAACTTAAAACATATTTTATTTTTATCTTAACTTATGAAATATATTTTATTTTTATTTAAAATATATTTTTTAAAAATTAAGATAAGAATAATATATATTTTTAAGTTAAAATATTAGTAAAATATATTTTTAAGTTAAAATAAAATATATTTAATAAGTTAAGAATAAAATAAAATATATTTTTTAATGTTAAGTTGTGAATTTAATTTAGTATGTTAATTTATATCAAAGTGTATAAAATATTAAGAATTTATATAGTGATATAGAATATATAATGCATATTGTGAACCTTAGACAAAAAAATTCAGTTGCCTCAACGGTTGAGTACTTTTACCATGGGCTCCCTTGTTGTCATATATAGCACACTTTATTTTCTTTCCACCATAGGATGATACATGGCTTGATTTGATTTGATGATTAAAAATAAATATAATCCAATAATTGAATGATGATTGTAACACCCCAAATTACAAGTTAGTAGTTTTGGGTTACCCGAGAGATAAGTGGACCATGTGAAATTATAAATTAAGTTGTTGTGCTTAATTGGGTTGGCTTTGGGGCCCTATTAGTCATAAAAAGAGGATTTTGAATATAAGATAAAATGCAAAGGACCAAAAAGTGCAATTAGACCATTGAAGATTTTGGAAGCTAATTTTAGGGGTTTTATTGGTGTATTGGACGTGGGTTCTCATCCTATCTCCTCTTCTTAGATTCTTCATCTTCATTTCTCTTCTCATTCTCTCATCCAAGTTTCCATAACTTCAAGAGTTGGTAAAAACATATTTCTCTACTCCTTTTGACTTTTAATCTGTTTCAAACTCATCCTATTACCCTTGGTATGCTAAGGATCTTGTCTTCATTTTTTGGTTTATGGAAAAATGGTGGAAAATCAACCAAAGTAAAAAAACGAGGTGCTTGATAGAAAAAGGAGCTTCATTTCAGGTTTCTAAATTCAAGGTACTGTATTTATAATCCTTTCAAGTATGAAGGTTTCATAAATCTATGGTTTTTGCTAAGATTTGGTGTTTGAGCATTTTAGGGTTCATCTTTGATTTCTCAACCTAATCACGTTTTAGGTGTTAATAATATGTTTAAATGATGCCTTAAGACTCTGAATAACTTACTAAAACTTTTGAATAAGTTTAGAAACCAACCCATCTTGTTTGGGGTGATTCTTGAGTGATTCCCGAGCTTAAGCAAGTCATTCCCAAAAAAAGGATCAATCCCTCGACCAAAGGGATCGATCCCAAAGTTTCTGTCCAGAAAATGATCGATCCCTTTTTAAATGAATCGATCCCTCAAGAGAAAGGATCGGTCCCTTTTCAAAATGATCGATCCCTTAGAGAAATGGATTGACCCCTCGAAAGAAATGATCGATCCATTCTCTATTCTGCTCGATGAAAAAGGATGGATTTGTATTCATTAAAGGTCCTAAGTGTTGTTGAATGTTCTTTTGACATGATTAAGGTTCGTAAGATTTAAGGACGATCCATAATAGTAAGATTTAGTCTGTGAGGGATATAAATGACGAAACATACCTAAAAATACTCGAAGGAGTAGGTTACATCGGGTGTAACCATATTAAGAGTAATACACCAAAGTATAATCAAAGATATATACGGATAGTTGGGATCGAAGATTGTTACAAGAGATATCCAAGAAGTGATACACTGAATATGTCAGATTCAATATTGATAAAATGTATGGGGCTTCGAGAACGTCAGTGAACTGGGAATGGATAAGTCATTCCACTACTTCAAGGGTTTTGGGAGAAGTATGATAAGAGTGTTAGGAGTATTGCTACCCAGTAATGAAGCCAAGTCAGGGATCATGCTAACTAGTGATTCAGTCAGTGAACAACAAGCATAATCGACAGAAAATCATGAAATGCTTAGAGATCTCTTTGAAGTCAAAGATAACAAAAATTCCCTTTAAGTTCCAATTAAGCTTTCCTTAATGTCCTAGGTGAAAGGAATAACGAGATAGTTCAGGTGAGAGGAAATGGCCTCACCTGACTTCAGCAAGATTGGTAACGAGTAACTAAGCTACTTTGATTTGTTTAGAGGAACATCGGCTAACGTGTGTTAAGGTGTTAGCTTTAGAGAAAGACTTATAATAATAACGAGATAATAATAATTGTGTGGTAACCATAAGATCCTTATGATGTAATATTCCATAAGACTTATGCCCTTGTGTGTATCTCGGGAAACGGTAAGGACACCTGAGTTACTTTAGCAGTAGGACTGTTATCTTGTGTGCATAGAATATCCATATATGTCAAAGTCAGTGCAAGATTTACTTTAGCCTCTAGTTGAACGTGGTACTGATGCTATGTGACCTAGACACGTTCCGAGTACTCAAGAACAGTATACTAGCCAAGCAAGGTGTCGATACTGTGTGATCCAGACCTAGCCTAAGGTATTGGGAGATGTCGATGCTATGTGACGCGGACCTCACCTGAGATACTTGGGAGATGTTGATGTTGTGTGACCCAGGTCTACCAAGCAAACAGAGGTGTGAGTTATGTGATGTTATGCGACCCTGAGCTACACTATGATGCTTACTTATTGTTGAGTGATAGTACCA